ATAACACAATAAATGGCATAGGTTAAGGAAAAAGTACAAGCCCTTAAACCCATAAAATTATTTTTGATCAAAGAAAAAAGGATAGTAAACAAAAAATTACAAAACTTGCACTGGGCCAAATGACAAAGCATTCTTTTCTCCCCGCGTTTCCCCATCCCCTTAAAGACACCTTATCCCATTTTACGGGAGTACTGATCTTAATGAGGCACCCTGGTGGCACAGCAATTAACAGCTACTGCTGCTAACCAAAAGGTCAGCAGTTCAAATCCACCAGCCGCTCCTTCGAAACCCTATGGGACAGTTCTACCCTGTCCTACAGGGTCACTGAGTTGTAATCAACTTGATGGCAACGGGTTTGGTTTGGTTGGTTTTTTTTTTTTTTGGATCTTAATGAACATCAGCAGAAATAAAAAACAGGTCATTTTACATGTATCAGAAAGTGTAAAATTCAAAATGCCGAATTATTTAAAAGACTAATTCATTAAACATCTCTCTTTTCAATAAGACTTCACCCAGTCAGCTGGACTTGATGATTTGCCTAAAGACCTTAAACCAGTGGTTCTCAAACTTAAGCATGCATCAGAATTACCTGAAGGGCTTGTTAAATCAGATTGCTGGGCTCCACCCCCAGAATTCCATTCAGTAAATCTGTGAAAGGGTCTTAGAATCTGAATTTCTAACAAGTTCCGAAGTGACAATGATGCTGCTATTCCAGGGACCACATTCTGAAAGTCACTACTCTAAACCTTGAGAATACTCCCAATTCTTGTTAAATTTTTCTCTCCAAAGACGTTGGGACTTCAGCAGAAAACACCAAGTTTGGGAGACTTTACTACCTTATGGTTAAACTGCTGAACTTCTCTTTGAAATACTTGATCTGAGGTTAAAATAGTAACATGCTGTGCTCGTTGCTAGCTGTTGCTGAGTCAGTCCCATGCACAATGGAAGCAAATGCTGCCCTGTCCTGTGCCATCCTCACGACTGGCTGGGGATCAGACCACTGCGATCCATATGGTTTTCCCTGGCTGATTTTCAGAAGTAAATCACCAGGCCTTCTTTCTAGCCCATCTTTGTCGGGAGGCTCCGCTGAAACCTGACGCTGAGGCGTCTGACCCCCCTGTTTAACTTCACAAGGGGCTGACTGCTGTGAGGTGGGGGTCAGATATACCTCTTCTCTCTCTGCCATCTCTACCAATTCTGACACCGTCTGTCCCTCCCACGGCACTCTCTACTTCTCTGCTGGGTTTGATGATTCGTTGCAATGGCTACACAGAACTCACAGACCATACTCACTGTTATGGGGTTTATGAGGGAAGCAATAGGTTACAATTCAGGCTCAGGAACGCTCAGGATACAGTTGTTTGATCAGGACAGCCTCTTCTCAGCTGTGCCGCAGCCATGGCGCAGGCCTTTGCCCTGCTCAGGGCAAGTGTTAGAAAGCTCTTTTAGCTCTGCCGTAAGTGCCCAGAGGCACTTCACTCAGCCAGTAAGCCTCAGCTCTAGCTCCACGGGCAAACCTAGCTCTACCAAGTACCTGGAGTCACCCTACTCTGCCAGCAAGCCTCCTGCCCTAAGGCACTCAGCTTTCTTGCTCCGTGGGGTGGGAAGCTCATCGCACTGTCTTCCTGCCAGTCTCCTGCCTCTGCTGCCTCCACTTCTAACCATCTTTGGTGTTACAGCTCTCTCTCTCCCTCTCTCAGACTCCTGGTTCCAGGAGCTTCTCAGCACAGGGATGCCGGGTCCAAAGGATGCACTCCACTCCTGGCTCTTCTTTCTTGGTGGTGGTGAGATCCTCTCCTCTCACCTCTGGCATGGCTCATTTTAAGCCTAGCAGGATAGCAAAACTGACCAATCTCCTTCTTAGGGTTCCGTTTACCTTATTTGCCTAGTCCCACTCAATCACTGTTGTGAGTCACAAATATCATGGCTAGAAGGGCCATATTAAGTAATTCATTGCTCCGCAAGCCTCACAGCAACACGCAAGCCTCCACTGACAGATATGTAACACATGGTCCCTGCCCTTATGGATCTTATTTACTGTCTCACAGGGACGACCGATATAACAGTAATTAAGTATGAAGAAATTCAGGTTGCTATGGAAGATGGAGACATAACCTACCTGGGGGTGGGAAAGGGCGTAGCAAGAAAGGCTTTCCAGTGAAACTGACCATCATGAAGCTTAGACCGGGAAAGACAAATAAGACTAAGCCAGGAAGAGAGGGAGAGAAAAAGAGATCCAGGTAGAGGAAACATACGCAGTGTTTATACGACTCACGCACACGAAGTACAGAGGAGTGGGAAACGCAGCTCAAAAAGTGGGCAAGCACCAGAACATGCAGGGCTCTATATACAACGTCCTAGGAGCAATGGGAAACCAGAAGACAATATGATCATATCTGCATCTTAACCGATCACTCTCTACAGTACCGATGACAGTGACCAGTCAGGAGGCAGCTGATGCTGGAAGGATGAGATGGTGGAAATGTGGAGGTGCATGGGGGTGGGAGGATGGAGATGGAGAAAATACTCTATCCACAGTGTTTTCTAAATAGTGAATCTTAAATTTACTACAGGAACACTGATTTGAATTCAGAATACCTCTCAGGTCAAAATGCATCTACTTTCTAGTTGTCTGACATAAAAGTCACTTTCGCTTCTATGGGCTTCAGTTTCATTAACTGTATAAAAACTCACTGCCATCGAGTCGATTCTGACTCATAGCGACCCTGTAGGACAGAGCAGGATTGCCCCATAGGGTTTCCAAGGCTGTAAATCTTTACAGAAGCAGACTGCCACATCTTTCTCCCCTGGAGTAGTTAGCTGGTGAGTTCAAACTGCCAAACTCTTTGTTAGCAGCTGAGCGCTTAACCCCTGCGCCACCACAGCTTCTTATCGCCTGTATAAAACCAAACCAAACCTGTTGCCACTGAGCTGATTCCAACTCACAGCGACCCTATTAAGACAGAGGAGAACTGCCCCATGGGGTTTCCAAGGAGTAGCTGGCAGATTCAAACTGCCAACTTTTGGTCAGCAGTTGAGTTCTTAACCACTGTGCCACCAGGGCTCCTTATCAACTGTATAGGAGGATTAAAATCTTCCCTATATATCTCTTAAAGTCACTATACTACAGTGATCAAAAAATCATGTATCTAAATAATCTTGTTTTTACATATTACATACACACTAATTTTTATTCTCCTAAACTCTTAGCCCCATCTCAATTTCCAGCTATAATATAAGAGCATGAATCTCTGTGATGAGCTTTATTCTAAAAAAAAAAAACTACATCATAACTGGTATAATAAGCAGTAAAGAATGTATTAGAACTAATAATAAGAGTTCAGCAAGGCTGCTGGAATAAAGCAACTGCTCTCCTAACCAAGAGCAACTATAACAAAATATCCTTTAAAAGGATACAATAAAAAACAAAAAGAGAAGTTGTCTAGAAATGAATCTGACAAAAGATGTTTAAGGACTTACACTAAGGAAAGTTAATAAAGAAAAATACTATGCTCAATAACATAACTATGCCAATCCTCCTTAAATGAAATCAATAAAATTCCAATAAAATCCCAAGAGGGTTTTACACAGAATTTGACAAGGTAATCCTGAAATGTGTAGTCCAGAAATCTCAATAACATAATGTTGAATGAAAACAAAATAGTAAATTGTGTAGATGCATACTCTAATACCATTACATAAAACTTAAAAATACACAAAACAGTATTACACATTTGTTACAGATTTATACATATGTAGTAACAGTATGAAGACCTGCATGAGAAAGATAAATATCAAATTCAGAATACCGGTTACTGAAGGAATAGCATCAGAGAGGTATAAATCGTTGGTCCTGTTTTATGTGTAATCTTATGCTTGTTATATTATTCCTGAGTCTTTAAACTTTTTTTGTATGTCTTAAATAGTCTACAAAAAAATAGAATACCTTTTAATTTGAAAACCTGTACATTATTACATGGTCTAGTTCAGTAGTTCCCAAACACCAATCCAATAGCTGCATCAGCACCACCTGAAGTACCTGCTAAAAATACAAGTTTACCAGGCTCTGAGCCCTGGTGGCACAGTGGCTAAAAGCTCGGCTGCTAACCAAAAAGTTGGCAGTTTGAATCCACCAGCCAGCCACTCCCTGGAAACTCTAAGGGGCAGTTCTACTCTGTCCTATAAGATCACTACGAGTCGTCATCAACTCGATGGCAACGGGGTTTTTTCGGTCCCAGCATCAGAATTTCTGAGAGGTGAGCCATATGATTCTAAGAGCTACCTCAGAGATAGGTGACCCACTAGCTATTGTCCCAATCTGACAATGATATATTTAAATGCTTAGAATGGCCTGATCATTCCCCAACTGATGCGACTGTCTGGAATGTGGATTCTAATTTGAGGGCAAAACCATAATATTTTAAAAATATATCCTTTACTATATCCTCTTAAAAGGTCGTACATGCGAAATCTAGGAATAGCTTATAAAGTAACAGTATCCAATGATGCTATATGAAAAAATAACTCCTTCACATCCTCTACCAAGAATACGTCATAGTAAAATTCCACTGGAGACGAAAAAGCATGCTACCCTTTGGTATGGAGTGGTACAAGTCACTCACAACTGCCCTCACGACGTACTTCCCTCAAGTATGTAGACGCCAACACCCCCTGCTCCCTTCTTTTTGCTATCTTCTTCCCTTGTAATAAAATTCACTGCCAAATGCTGTCTAGAGAAATAAACAGATCCAAGAGGAAACATAAAAAATAAATTCAGAAAGAAAACAAAAGTTGTAATGACAATTTTCATAGCCTTGCTCCTAGAAAATAACATTAACTCAAATGGACTTAGCTGTTAGTATGTATGTAACACTGAAGGGCTGACAACATATATTTTAAAATTACAACTAAAAACATGGAAAAAGGTTATTTTAATATTTGAAAAACACAAATCTGCTACTGGCACACAAATCCACATCAATATAAAAGGACTCACTCACCAGGGCTTTCTACTCTCTTATAGTGGTAGGGGTTGATGCAGACTTCCTTCTGCTTGGACCCAAAAGGAAACTCGCAGCATTCGAGTGGCTTCAGTTCATGGTGGCTCTGAAGGTCAGGCCAGCGCCACACGCGGCAGTAAATGACATGGGGCAGTCCCTTCCGGTGGGACACTTGCAGCCTGCCATCCAGAGAGCGGGGAATGGTGACACAGTTACTTGGTTGCCCTGGGCAGCTCAAGGCCTTTTCCAGTTCCTCCATGGCACCTTTCTTTTTCTTCAGTTTTTTCACCAAAGCATCAACAGCTTTCTCTGCCCATTTTTCTTCTTCATCACCCTGTTTCCACCCAAGAAGTCTCTTCACAGCTGGACTTGTGAAGGAAAATAGACTTGTCACGTTCATAATGACTGTACTCGATATATACTCCTCGGAGATAGGAAACAAAGGGGTCTCCAAATGCAAAAGGACAGCAGAAGAGGCGTCACTTTATTTACACAGGACACTTTTTAGCTTGTTTTGAGGTCCTGAAAAGTAGAAACTACCATTCCCAGCGTTTTGAAAAGCAACCCAAAGTCAGCACCTACAAAAGAAAAAAATGTTTTAAAAAATCATTTCTATCACACAACCTCCATTTATTAAGCAATTGCTGAGTGCCAGGTACTATTTTAAGTGCTTTTATGTATTATGGTATTTTAATCCCTGTAACAATTATTTGAACTTGGTAACACGACTCGCCATTTTACAGATGAATAAACTGAGGCACAGTTTAAAGAGTAAGTATGTCACTGTTTACATGAGTACTGGGATAGAACCAACAGAAGATACCTTCCATTGCCGTTGAGTCGATTCTGACTCAGGGCGACCCTACAGGACAGAACAGAACTGCCCCATATGGTTTCCAAAGAGCACCTGGTGGATTCAAACTGCCGACCTTTTGGTTAGGAGGTGAACTCTTAACCACTACGCCACCAGGGTTTCCTAGAAGACACCTTAGTGCAAACAAACCCAAGTTCTCAACAGATATTGTAATGGTTTATATTTAGATTAATTTATAACCTCTAAAAATACATTCCAAAACACACCTCAGTCAAAAAAAAACTGAAAGCAACAGGAAATGATAAAAATACATTAGTCTTAACATCTCTGTTTAGGGTTTATTCTTCAAGCCATTTCTCATGCTAAAAGAAAGGGTAGTTATGTTTCTACTATATAAATGTAGCAACATTTTAGGGTCTATTCAGTAAACAAGGCTGAGCCTTTGGGCTAGGCAAGTAAGGGGAGAAATTTACTTCCCTTTTTTTAAATTTACTTTTTTATTGATATGAAAAGAACAAGACACACGAACACACACTATCTACCAAATTCTTCAGTGAAGTTGCCTCATTTAAACCTAGCTATTCTTCCCCGATGAAAACACAAAAAGAGAGAAAGGTTAACTTCATGCAAACTCCAGTTAAGACAGAGTAACACCTGTCAGACCAACCTCCTGCCAAGAGTAACTATAACAGTGGAGTAAAATATAAATTTAAAACCCCAGCTTTTTAAAGACATCAAAGAGCTCAAACAAGGTAGCCGGGACTTGAGAGACCACAATCCTAGAGAGAAGGGAAAAGCAATCAACTGAGCATTCTTCACTGCTTTTCCTTTTAAGGTACTTGCTATGCTTATGCTATAAGCAGTCAACGGGCCTAGTGGCCAAACAAAAAGTGGCAGCTAAAAAACTAAGAAGGGTTTTCAGTAGTCTCAGTGTTGAGGAGACACACACACACACAGACACAGACACACACACAGACACACACACAGACACACACACACACACACACACACAAAAGAGGTGTGGGCCTGTTGAAGAGGAAGAAATACCCCAGGTTTCTGTTGAGAACCCCGAAGGGGTATGCCTAGTTTAAGAGGAAACCTGAAAACGACTCATCTTTACAAACACTGAAACCCAGCCTAGAATCCTCTCCATCCTTGATTTGATCAAAGTCATGAGTCCCTCCCACTAACAGCCTGCCAGAAGAAAAATAGATCCTCTATAGAGGAAGACAGCATCATCCTCAAAAAAAACAAAACAAAACAAAAAAACCACTGCCATTAAGTCAATTCCAATTCATAGTGACCCGTAGGACAGAGCAGATCTGCCCCATCTTTCTCCCAGAGTGGCTAGTGAGTTTGAACTGACGATCTTTCCTTACGGGTAGCAGCCAAGCACTTAAACCACTGCGCCACCAGGGTTCCTCAACAGCTTGCCGGAAGAAAAATAAATCCTCTGTAGAGGAAGACAGCACCATCCTCAGCCTCTACAATTTTGTATTCACAATATACAGCAATTAATGAAAAGTTACCAGGCATGTCAGAAGGCAGGAACAAATGACTAAAACAAAAAAGAAGACAAACAGACCTAAGATGTGATCCACATAGTGGAGTTACTAAATATAGACTTTAAAATATCAATAACTACTGATTAATATGTTCAAGGAAACAGAAGACAGAAAATTTCACCAGAAAACTGGGATCCACAAAAGAAGAATGAAATGAAATTCCACAACCAAAAAATATAGTAACCTGGAGACTTAAACAGATGGATTTAAGAGCAAGTTAGTTACAGCGAAAGAAAGGATTAGTGAATTGAAAAACAGATCAGTAAAAGGTATCCATTCTAAAGCACAGAGAGAAAAAAGGATGGAAAATAAAGAAAAAAACTAAAGAGTCATAAAATGTGGTCAAACGCAACTAGCATTATGTAATTTGAGTCCTAGAGGAAGGGAAAGAAAGATTGTGGCACAGCCATATTTAGATACTGGCCAAGGATTTTCCAAAACCGACAACAGACGTTTAGTCACAGACTCATGAAGCCCTACGAATCCCAAGAAGGATAAATACAAGTAAATTTAAAAATTTTGATGTGTCATTTATCACAGTAAAATTGCTGCAAATCTAAGAAAATCCTAAAAGCAGTCAGAAAAGAAGGCAATACATTACCTGCCAATAAGCACAATAAAGCTGACAGCTGATTTTTTAACAATAGATACAAGAACACAATTAAACAACATCTTTAACACTTTCATTACCATTGGTATAAACTGTATGGCAGCCACTTTTTATGACTCTGGACCTCAGAAGTAAGGCGTTATTCTGGTTCTAACACATTTAGTGTCAAGGTGGGCCCCTTTTGAAACGCGTGAAGGTCAGCAGACCAGAGTTGGAGCCTTATTGTTGTGTAGGTTGAGCATTCTATAAGGTGATGCTTCCTGGATGTGTTAGTTTTGTAAACTTTTTTTTATTTATTTGAGATAAGGCTTGTATGCATAATTATGGCTTTGCTGTGTGGTAGTTAGGGAGCCCTGATGGCTTTGTTTTGGTTTTTCTGTGTCATATTCAGAAAACCAGAGGTTCCCCATGTAACCCAATGGAAAAAGCGCCCACAGTAAATTACTTATCCAGCTCTAACTGGTATATCGTCATACCACAGATCAGCGGTGCCAAAATGCCACTTGCCTCACTGGTGGCTTGTATTACCAGATCATATTTCTCAAAATCCGTATTACCAACCAAAAATTTAAACACACTCAACTAGTAAGCATGCACTCAAATACTGAAAACACATGATATATATATATACATAAAATATGTGTGTGTGTGTATGTATGTGTGTATATATATATATATATGAGAAAAAAATGTAGTAACAAAAAGGTTAACATGCCAAATGGAAACAGCTGGCAACTCAGAATTCTATTTCTACTTAGAGAAAAAAAATCATTCAAATATGATTGGAAAATAAAGATGCTTTCCAACGAACAAAATCTGAGAGAATTAGTTGCCAGAAGATTGTCAATAATAGAAACAAAATTCTTCAGGCATAAGGAAAAAGATCCCAGAAAGCAGCACAGAACTGCAGGAAAGAATGCAGACCATTGTAAGGGTAATATGTGGGTAAGGTTAAATAAATATTGACTTTACAAAACAATAATAGAAACATCTTACAGTGTTTAAAATATATGTAGAATCGAAATGCATGACAACAGCAGAAAAAGCAAAATGAAGTTAGTATTCTAAGGTCCTTGCATTACCCAGGCTGTGGTAAAAGCATTAACTTATTATTCACTGTAAGAAGTTACCATATTTTTACGCAAATAATGTGCATGTTACACATTTTTTGCCAACCACACAACTCCCCCCACCCCGTGTCACTTTCACAAGCATACTATATGCCAATTTCCACGTTATATGTGCGGGCACCTTATTTATGAGGTCCCATTATTTGCAAAAAATACAGTACTAATGTGTGTCATTAACTAACCACTGAAAGAATAATTTTTAAAAATATGTAACAAGATAATAGAAGTGTTAAAATGAAATTAACTTTTAAATGTAAATAATCCAAAGAATATAAAGAAAAAAGGAGCAAGTAATAGATGGGACAAATAAAAAATAAATAGTAAGATTTAAAACTAATCCTAAAAGTATTAGCAACTAATTAAATATAAACAGACTAAACACGCCAATGAAAAAACAGAGGTGGGGAACACTACCTAACCATATAGTACTTACAAGAGACACACATTACATATAAGGACACAGAAAGGTTGAAAGGAAAAGGATGGAAAATGATATGCAAACGTTAACAGCTCTAAGGCAAGAAGCATCACCAGGGATAAAAAAGGAACATCTCATAATGATAAAAGAGTTCATCTGCCATGAACATATCACAATCTCAAATTTTATGCAATAACAGTCTCAAAACAAAACACAAAAAGCAAAAGCTGACAGAAAAGAACAATTTGACAAACCCACAATCCTCGTGAGAGATTAACACAGTAACTGATAAAATAAGCAAACAGAAATCAATAGATCTAGAAGATTAACATGTTTAACAAACTTGATTCATCTACACAGATCATGGAACCAACAACTGTGGAATACATAATATTTTCAAATATAGATGGAATACTTACCCAAACTGACCATATAATGGGACATAAAGCAAATCTCAACATACATCAAAGGAATAACATTGTACAGAACACGTCCTTTGATCACAGTATAACTAAGAAATCAATAACAAAAGTATTGCTATTGAAAACTACTACACTTCTAAATGACCTATGCCTCAAAGAAATCACAGTAAAAATTAAAAAGTATTTTAATATGACACATCAAAACCTGTGAGATGTAGCTCAAGCCGTGCGTAGAGGGAAGTTTATAGTCTTAAATACATTATTGGAGTCCCTCGGCTGCTAATCAAAAGGTTGGAAGTTCGAATCCATCTAAAGGTGCCTTGGGAGAAAGGTCCGGTGATCTACTTCTGAAAATCAGCCACTGAAAACCCTATGCACAGTTACAAAAAGAACAAGACAGACAACTTCTTTGTGGTCCTCTAGTCACATTTATACTCTAACACACAAAGTGTCACCGTTAATAGACTCAACAGCAACTGGTTTTACAAAAGCATACGTTAAAAAGAAAAAAATGGAAAACTAATGTTCTATTTTTCCACCTCAGTAAAAAAAAGAACAGTAAATTAAACCCAAGAAGAGTAGAAGAAAATGAAGAGTAAAACAAACAAAAAAACCCAAATGTATAATAGAGAAAATCTATAAAATCAAAAGTTGATTCTGTGAAAAGACTAATAAAATCAATAAACCCCTAGCAAAACTGATCAGTAAAAAAGAAATCATAAATTACTGACAACAAGAATAAAAGGTGGATATCATTAGTGATCCTCAGAAATTAAAAAGACAATGATTATGAAGAGCTGTCACAGCAAACTGTGTGTGTTTACAGCTACACTGTAATAGTCTACATGTCTGTCTTCCTTACTATAGGAAAATGGTTGAGGGGCTCTATCATATTATCTTCCTATCTGTGGGACACAGCATAATATCTGGCACATAGCAGACTCTCAATCATGTTTGATGAATGACAGACCTCACTGAAGAACTAAGAAGGCCACGTGTGGAGTTTCAACTTTATTCAGTAGGCTATACTGTGCTCATGCAGAACCTGTCCATAGACCAAGAGGCAGTCACTGGAACAGAAAAAGAGGATACCGCGTGGTTGAAAATCAGGAAAGGTGTGCATGAGGGTTGTATCCTTTTACCATATTTATTCAATCTGTAAACTGAGCAAATAAGCTGAGAAGCTGGACTATATGAAGAAGAACGTGGCATAAGGACTGGAGGAAGACTCATTAACAACCTGCGATATACACGTGACGCAACCTTGCTTGCCGACAATGAAGAGAACCTGAAGCACGTACTGACGAAGATCAAAGACTACGGCGTTCAGTATGGATTACATCTTAACATAAAGAAAAAATTCTCACAACTGGACCAATAAGCAACATCATGATAAACGGAGAAAAAACTGAAGTTGTCAAGGATTTCATTTTACTTGGATCCACAATCAACACCCATGGAAGCAGCAGTCAAGAAATCAAACGATGTATTGCACTGGGCAAATCTGCTGCAAAAGACCTTTAAAGTGTTAAAAAGCAAAGACGTCACTTTGAAGACTAAGGGACACCTGACCCAAGCCATGGTATTTTCAATCACCTCATCCACGTGCGAAAGCTGGACAATGAATAAGGAAG